AATTTTGTTTTTCTACAAAATAATAAACTATACTATTTAGAAAAAAATTTATTTCTCTTATAATTTTATAAAAAATAACAGGGGAATATTTACATTTCTTGATCTATTAAACAAAACGATAAATTATCTCGACGAATGACACCATGTTCTAGTACGGAAGCTAGCTTTACATTTTTGTTAGTGGTTTCATGGGTTTCATATCAATTTTTTGTAATTGTAGTTTACACGTACATATACCTCTTAACACTTGTTTGCTTTATTAAAAAAGTGTGTTGTTGTGATTTACGTCGAAATAAGTCAAAAACAACTTGAAACCCCATATAAAATCAAAAAGGAGAAACGGAAAAAAATTGAGCCTGTAAATGAACACAACCCAGAAACAAAAATAGCTATCTAATATTAAAAAAATAAAATTTGATTCTTGTGCAGCTTCATCTATATCATTAACTGTTTTTGGGTTTTTAATGGTTTTTCTTGGTGATGAAAATTCCGATATCTCACGGTTATCGATTCTTTTTTTCTCTCCAGAAATGCGGACGACAGTGTTTTTAGATACTCCTGTGGCTGCAGCAACACGATCATTTACATTTTTAAATGGTATTGAAGGTGAATTAAAGTTTCCTTCTCTTCTCATAAACTCTATAACATTGGCTATTATTTCGCGAGATTGACTGTTAATCACGCGGCCTCTTAATTTGCTATTAAACTCCATACTTAGGTTCTATTAAACTGTAATGAGCAAAAAACACAAACGAAAATAAAAGAAATGTTTTAGCGAAATTTACATCTGATATTTACGTCTGAATGAAATAGTGAAATACTTGATGCGCAGAGTGTACTTTCATTGCGTAAATCCGTCGGGATGCCTGTCAGTAGTGCTTTCTCTGTCTAGCCGTCGAAAGCCTCTAGAAATTTGATGAACTGTAAAAAACATTTTTTTAGTGTGGGTGGAAAAAGTGGGTAATTTTTAAAACCGTGGGTGGATAAAGGGGGAATTTTGGGATTAACTGATGGGAAATTTTACATTTTTGATTCGGCAACACTGGTTGTTACATGCCATATACTTAGAACTTGTACACGTGACGTTACTAGACTAGCGACGTTGCCAAGCGGTGTAAAATTTAATATGAACTACTGATAATCTGAAATATTTGATAAGATCAAGGTCTTTGGGGAGACAGACGATATAAGAATAAATTGGAAATTCGGTGATATAAGCAATGTGTCATATAAGTACTAAGAAATGTGCTGTATTAGATTCGAAAAATAGAATTACAGTGAACATTAATAAAGCCATTTCCAAAATGAAATTTTCAGAATATCGCTGGTTTTAAACGGCGATGGGGAGACAGAAAATATTGATTTAAAAAAAAATAAAAAAAAATGTGTTAATAAGAAACATATAAGGCAAGTTTTGTACCCTATTAGAATTTGAAATTCGAAAAACCGCTGAAAATTGCTGTTTTTGCTCCACCCTAGTGGGTATATACAGGGTGTTATTGAAATACACGTACATATTAAAACTGGCTATTGCGCAGATCCCCACTGAATGTAGAAAAATATTATTTTTTAAAAATACCCCTTATTAAGGGAGTTATTAATTTTTGAAAATTAATTCTAAAACAAAAGTACTTCACTGATATGTTGAGGATGACCTATATAAATTAGGTTTATTTACCTATTTTAAACATCAACAGTAATTAATATGCAAGTTTTTGTCAGATGATAAGAAAACTAGTCTTGTAAGAAATAACCATGTTGCCAAGATTTTCGAATTAATTTCTATTTCCGAAGACTGGTTTTTACTACCCTCGTTATCAAAAAACTAGAATATTTGATAAATGATTGTTTTTAAACTATACATTTTTGAAACTATAGATTATTAAAATTTTAGTTGATTTACGAATCTGGCTAACACGAGCGCGTCATTTCCAAGTTGGTAAAAAGTGTTGTTACGATTACTTTTAAATATTTTTTTACGATGCTACTATTTACGAATATTGAACTAACGGATATAGTGCTGGTTTATGGGGCAGCTGGAGAAAATTCTCGGCAAGCACAAATCCTGTATCGCGAACGGTTTCCAAATCGGAGAATTCCGGACTGTCGTACGTTTATTTCAACTGTTTAGCATCTAAGAGACCATGGAAAATTTGAGAGTGTCAATGCAGATCGAGGGAGAACAAGAACACAAAGAACATTGGCGGCCGAAGAAGAAATATTGGAAGCTGTTGAAAACCGGCCTCAATTAAGTTGTAGAAGACTAGGTCTTGAAATTGGAGTGTCCTCATTTGTTGTGTGGCAGACACTTAAAGAACAAGGTTTACATCCTTATCACATCCAAAAAGTCCAGGCCTTATATCCAGGTGATGAAGAAAAGAGAGTGGAGTTTTGTGAATGGATGATTCAAAAATGTGTTGATATTCCTGATTTTCTAAAAATATTATTGTATACTGACGAGGCTTCATTCACTCGTGATGGCGTGTTCAATATGCACAATACGCATATTTGGAGTGATGAAAATCCTCACGCCATTAGCGAAACTGGGCATTAAAGAAAATTTTCAATAAATGTTTGGGCTGGCATAATAGATCAGTATTTAATCGGGCCTTATGTTCTCCCGAACAGATTAAATGGGCCAGGATATCTCCACTTTTCAGAAGATATTTTGCCAGTACTCCTAGAAGAGATACCGTTACAATTAAGGCAACGGATGTGGTACCTACTAGATGGCGCTCCTCCTCTCTTTGATTTAAACCTACGGCAGTTTTTGAACATTAGATTTCCTCAAAAGTGGATAGGCAGAAATGGACCTACTAAGTGGCCTCCGAGATCTCCGGACTTAAATCCATGCGATTTCTTTTTGTGGGGTCACATGAAACAACTGGTTTATAATGAACCTATTAATAGTGTTGAACAATTAACCAATAAAGTTAATGCGGTAGCCGAGGAACTACGACAAAATCCAAGACTAATTTCTAATGTTTAAAGTTCTTTGGAAAGACGATTGCAAGTGTGTGTAAATAATAATGGACGGCATTTTGAACAATTACTGTAATAAACTTTATTTTGAATTAATTGGTTTTGCTACGGCAACAGTGCAATTTCTATGGGTAAGTTCAATTTCGATTTATTTTACTTCTTTAAATATGGAAACTAGTAGGTCGGGAAAGGGGACTCTTCCCCAATATTTAAATTTTAGAATTTGAAGTTAAAATTGGTGCCAATCGTTTTTGGTCATTACATACTATTCCCCATTTTAATATGTACGTGTATTTCAATAACACCCTGTATAGTGGCCACCCTAAGTTTCAAAAGTCCCGTGATGTAAAATCCAGACCAATATGATTATGAAACTAAGTACGCATTGCAGCTCAAACATTGTTAGAGTCATAGTAAAAAAATTAAGGCCCTAATTTAAAGTTTTTTATTATTATAAAATATTATGCAAAATATTGGCGATGGCCACTTTACCCCACACAGCTGGGCAAAGTGGTAACCCATATTTTGGGACAAAGTGACGATGATAAAAGTATTCTAAACAATCTCACTTCTGATAAAACAGTACTTTAGCATTTGTAACGCATATAATTCAGCTTAAAAACATACTTTACATGTAAATACATCGTCGTCTTCATCGCATGCACCACATTCTTTATGTGCCCAACTTTTGCACACTGAGCAGCATGTCCAGCCCTCCCCTTTTTTGGATTTTGAGAAATAGCAGTAGAGACATTTTCCTGTGCATCATTGTCACTGCTGCCTGTGTCATCTTAACATGAATTTTTGATTTCTTTCTCGAAACCTTGATTGCCTTTTAACTGTTTCTGGTTTTTAAGATTCCTTTGTTGCTGTTTCCAGCTCATTCTTATAAGGACTGTCTGTGATTATTGCGGTAGAGCCTCTAGTAGTAAATGTTTAGAGGTTAAAAATAGAACACAAGCCGACGTTCAAATTCCGTTTAACCAATGACGACTCGACACCGTAAATTAGCAGAGCTTGTTTGTTGCCAAGGACAAAAAGGTCGACGGTGCGGTACAAGTCAGAATCAGTCTCACACTTGACCAGTAAGGTCGTATTTTTTGCTCTTTGCCGAAATCGGCACTATAACATAAGATGTTAAAAACCGACGTGTAATTACCACATAATTTAATCTACCAATTTAAGTTTTAAGTACAGTGTAAAATTGTTTTTTCACTACTAGCTTTAGAAGCTAACTTTATTGACTGATTTTCAGGTAGAAAAGTGGTTCATTATTAACCTAGAGAGAGAATTACAGAGCCTACCTGATAACTATATACCTACTGTATTTTATGTAAATGATATCAGTTCATATTTTGACAGTACTAAACTGACGTTTGTGTTTTACATTTAATTGTCACAAGCATGGATGATTTGATTTTAAAAAAAGTTTGAAATCGTTTTTATTAGTTTTAAAAACTTAATTTTTTTTAATTAAAATGCTAGTAGTAAAAAAAATAGTACATGAGCCACGGTAGAGAAGTGAGTTATTTTGTCGAGGTCCACTAAAGACCGAGAAGCGAAGCTTCGAGACGCATAATATACTATAGTTGTATTAGAGTTTAGCAAGTTTAAATAAAAATGTAAAAGGAAGGTACATCTTTAATTTAAATAAAGAGAAGTGAATTCAAAATCAAGTTGTTGGTGCTCGAACCTCCTATAGAACAATATAGTCCACAGCAGAAGGGAAGTGTACGTGACTTGGAACCGAGTAAAAAAGTTCCATAACCCGACACAGGGCTCGATCCTAATGAATTATTTGTGCTAGCGTTCTGTACAGACCTTTTATTTATACCCCGTACATTAAAAATATCGTGTTATTATGCATATTAATTTAATCTTAACTTGTTAATTAAATTTGCTTAAAAAACTAGATTGGTGCTTGAAGTATCGATAAATCTAGTTTTGAGATGGCTTTTTTAGGAAAGGTGTTACGCGCCAATAGTTTAAATATTGATTTATCTGCACTTCAAAAGAGTTTTGATAATAATTAATCTTAAAATTAATCGGCTTCTGTATAAACTATACAAACACAATAAAAAGATTCTAATTGTTGAGTGTTGTCATTAAAGGAAATTGAGAAAATGGCATGGTACAATTATTTGACTGTGGAAATTCCATTTCTGTTTTGCATGTTTGGTTTTACTTTACTAGGTATGTATTTTGATTTTTACCGTTATTTTCTATAAGTTTAAATCAGAAAAATCCAAGTATTTTACATTTAGTCATTTTAATGTGTTTTAGTTAGTTTCACCAAATCTTTTTCACAATTCACTTTAAATTAAATATTTTTGTGATTTATAATTTATTTTCTTTAAACTGGTAAAAAAATTATCAAATATAATTACTAAGAGAATTTTTTTTCTAAATTCCGTAAACAAAACGTTAGAGAGTACCTGAGATTTTATTTTGTATACAAATAATTTTCAAAAACCGTAAAGTTTTAAATCGGATCATTTTGTAAATAGTAAAAAGGTATAAATCGGAACAAAAATTACAGAAATAAAAAAAAATACATATCAATATGATACATTTCTTCATTTGTTATCAAATTATATTCATAAGTTTAGCCCATGCCCAATAGGGGCCTCAATTAATGCAATATAGGTATTTAAATGACATAAAATTTAAAAATGTGTTCAAGTGCTTCATTGTTTATGAATTATCGATTTTTTTATGTGATTTTTTGCGCGTCACTCTGGTTTACGCAAATGATTTTGTTATTTGTAGAATCATTGTGTAGAATTTATAAGAATTTCAAACAGACCTGCTGTTCGACGAAATAATAATAAAAATGTTTTCATTAGAAAAAAAAAATCTGATGTGTCCAACACAGTTATTATAGGCATTTTCCGGTTATTTTGTACAACCTATTGCAGCATCTCTATAAATGTTTAGAGGATAAACTAAATATATACATTTTACACATACATCTACCTCGAAACATTTTTCTATAGATATTCATTGAAAACGAAAATACAGAAAAATTTAAATTTAGCACTTTTCCATTACGGTCCATTTTAGAAAAATCATATATAAACAAAAATTATAGAAATCGATATCGCAAACAACTTTTAGTTCAACAATTTTCATAAAAATCAGAATTTTGCACATTTTGTCAAATTTCTCGAATACGGACCATTTCAGGAAATTTTGACATAGAACAAAAATTATAGATAATAATATTAGAAGTAACTTTTATTTGAACAATTTTCTTCTACAAACACAAATAACAGATATATTCCATAAAATATAAAAACGGCCTCCCATAAAGTACCCCCCCAGATGTTCCGACTTTGTCCAAAATCTAACCATTTCACGTCAGGCCGAAATAAACCTTAAGTTTAAAATTTAATGTTTTTTCCTTTATCCGTTTTTGAGTTATCTTCAAATTTCGAAATTTACACATTTTCTCAAATATCTCGAATACGGTCCATTTTAGAGAAATTATGTATAGGACAAAAATTATAGAAAATTATATTACAAACAACTTTTATTTAAACAATTTTTATAAAAAATTATTTTTTTTACATTTTGTCAAATTTCTCGAATACGGACCATTTTAGGAAAATTTTGCATAGAACAAAAATTATAGATAATTATATTAGAAGTAACTTTTATTTGAAGAATTTTCTTCTCCAAACGTAAATAACAGATATATTCTATAAAATATAAAAATGACCACCTATAAAGTACCCCCCAGATGTTCGGACTCTGCCCAAAATCTAATCAGCTCATTGGACGCTGAAACAAAGCTTAAGTTTAAAATTTGGTGTTTTTCTGTGTATCGGTTCATGAGTTATGCGTTATAAAGACACACACACACACACACACACACACACACACACACACACACACACACACACACACACACACACACACACACACACACACACACACACACACACACACACACACACACACACACACACACACACACACACACACACACACACACACACACACACACACACACACACACACACACACACACACACACACACACACACACACACACACACACACACACACACACACACACACACACACACACACACACACACACACACACACACACACACACACACACACACACACACACACACACACACACACACACACACACACACACACACACACACACACACACACACACACACACACACACACACACACACACACACACACACACACACACACACACACACACACACACACACACACACACACACACACACACACACACACACACACACACACACACACACACACACACACACACACACACACACACACACACACACACACACACACACACACACACACACACACACACACACACACACACACACACACACACACACACACACACACACACACACACACACACACACACACACACACACACACACACACACACACACACACACACACACACACACACACACACACACACACACACACACACACACACACACACACACACACACACACACACACACACACACACACACACACACACACACACACACACACACACACACACACACACACACACACACACACACACACACACACACACACACACACACACACACACACACACACACACACACACACACACACACACACACACACACACACACACACACACACACACACACACACACACACACACACACACACACACACACACACACACACACACACACACACACACACACACACACACACACACACACACACACACACACACACACACACACACACACACACACACACACACACACACACACACACACACACACACACACACACACACACACACACACACACACACACACACACACACACACACACACACACACACACACACACACACACACACACACACACACACACACACACACACACACACACACACACACACACACACACACACACACACACACACACACACACACACACACACACACACACACACACACACACACACACACACACACACACACACACACACACACACACACACACACACACACACACACACACACACACACACACACACACACACACACACACACACACACACACACACACACACACACACACACACACACACACACACACACACACACACACACACACACACACACACACACACACACACACACACACACACACACACACACACACACACACACACACACACACACACACACACACACACACACACACACACACACACACACACACACACACACACACACACACACACACACACACACACACACACACACACACACACACACACACACACACACACACACACACACACACACACACACACACACACACACACACACACACACACACAGAGACATCATCGCGAAAATAGTCAAAACGGATTCAGGGGACCTCAAAACGTAAAAATCCGTCGAAAACTCGAGGTCGAAAAAAATCATGATTCCTATACTTTCCTTATATCTGTATACAGATAGGAAAGTAATAATAACAAAGATACTTAATCCGAACTAGAAAGGGAAATAATAAGGAATTCAAATAGGTATTAAAACATTAGTTCTTACTCTAGTCAAATAGGGATTCAACATCGGAAAGAAAGGTAATACCTAAGCTGTAAATTTGTGCAAATTTTTGTTTTGAGATTTTATAAGTTGGTTCAAAAGTCTCATAGTAACTGTACGAGTTTAGAGGCAGCATTACTGCCGAAATTAGCCCTCTATAGTGTTTAATTTTAGAATTAAATGTGGTAAACATTGCAAGTAAATAATAAAAGTTTGGATTTCCAATTCGTTGGAGCCATATGTCTCTAACAACGTTATTGGTAGGAATATGATATCTAAAAATATATTATTATGTACAAACTGAAAGTAGCAATAGTCAAAAATGGTTTCATAGCTCCATTATACATCAGAAATCGCCAAAAAAATTGTATACATATAAACCAAAGGGATGTATCATCCCTAATAAAAGGGTTTAAACTGGTTTTTCAATGGTTTAATTCACGATCAAGTATTCTCAATTACAATGTTGCTGTGGTATTGCCACTGTCTATTCGTGTACTGCCCACTGCGCTGGTCTGCCTTCTCCCGCTCGTCCATCCTGATACGCATGTGTATGGGCTTCAAGAATGTATGGTGGGGAGTATAGAGAAATACCGCTAACATACATATAGACTGGTGTGAACTTAGCAGACCAAACTTGGCAGCCAAAATGCCGAAGAAACCCAAACGATCAGTGGCGTCGGTCCCAGGTTAATAAATTTTATTTTTATTAAATACAGTTCATCAAATTTCTAGAGGTTTTCGACGGCTAGACAGAGAAAGCACTACTGAGAGGCATCGATTGGCGGGGACGACGGATTTACGCAATGAAAGTACACTCTGCGCATCAAGTATTTCACTATTTTATTCAGACGTAAATGACAGATGTAAATTTCGCTAAAACATTTCTTTTATTTTCGTTTGTGTTTTTTGCTCATTACAGTTTAATAGAACCTAAGTATGGAATTTAATAGCAAATTAAGAGCCCGCGTGATTAACAGTCAATCTCGCGAAATAATAGCCAATGTTATAGAGTTTATGAGAAGAGAAGGAAACTTTAATTCACCTTCAATACCATTTAAAAATGTAAATGATCGTGTTGCTGTAGCCACAGGAGTATCTAAAAACACTGTCGTCCGCATTTCTGGAGAGAAAAAAAGAATCGATAACCGTGAGATATCGGAATTTTCATCACCAAGAAAAACCATTAAAAAACCAAAAACAGTTAATGATATAGATGAAGCTGACAAAGGTATTTTAAAAAGAATTATTCTGTTTATGTTAATCTCGGAAAATATTGTTCCAACATTAAAAACAATTCTGACTAAATTTAGAGAAGCTACAGGGTACAAAGGAAGCTATGAAAGTTTAAGAAAAATAATAAAGTCGCTAGGATTTCGTTGGCGGAAAACAAAAACAAACAGAAAAATATTAATGGAAAGGTTTGATATTCAAAAGCTACGTTTAGACTATCTGATTCGTTTAAAAAGTTATCGAGCAGAGGGCCGTCCAATTGTCTACTTAGATGAAACATACATTCATGCCTCCCACACACACCAGAAAGCTTGGAGTGATAATTCAAATGACGGATTAAAGAAACCAATTAATAAAGGTGATAGACTAATTATTGTCCATGCAGGAGGTGAAATGGGCTTTATTCCGAATGCCCGGTTAATTTTCAAATCTGGAACCAAAAGTGGAGACTACCACGATGAAATGAATTTTAATAATTTTTCTAAATGGTTGAAAGAAAAACTGTTTCCGAACCTCCCTCCAAGAAGCGTCATTATTGTTGATAATGCTCCTTACCATAATGTCCAGGTAAATAAAGCACCAACGTCAACTTCTAAAAAAGCTGACATGCAGGATTGGTTAAGGAATCATAATATTGCTTACGAAGAGGATATGCTCAAAACGCAATTATACAGTTTAGTGCTACTGCATAAGTCACGATTTAAGAGGTATGCAATTGAAGAAATGATAAATGAACATGGTTTTAGTTGTTTGCGTTTGCCACCGTATCATCCCGATCTTAATCCAATCGAATTAGTGTGGGCATCATTAAAACAATATGTAGCTAGTAACAACACTACATTTAAGAGGCAAGACGTACAACTGTTGTGTGAAGACTTTTTTGATACGTTTTCTAAAGAGGAGTGGCAATCTCGTTGTAATAATGCTAAAATGTGGGAATCTAAATTTTATGACAGAGAAATTACTTTGGATGAGGCAACTGATAGATTTATAATTAACTTAAACAGTGACAGTGAGACTGATTTTGAATCTGATATGGAAACTGAAGAAAGTTTTTCGGAAGACCATTAAAATTATATCTGTACCTAAGATCAAAAAAGTATTATCTATTTTTACAACGAAGATGCACAAGAATCAAATTTTATTTTTTTATTATTAGATAGCTATTTTTGTTTCTGAGTTGTGTTCATTTACAGGCTCAATTTTTTTACGTTTCTCCTATTTGATTTTATATGGGGTTTCAAGTTGTTTTTGACTTATTTCGACGTAAATCACAACAACACACTTTTTTAATAAAGCAAACAAGTGTTAAGAGGTATATGTACGTGTAAACTACAATTACAAAAAATTGATATGAAACCCATGAAACCACCAACAAAAATGTAAAGCTAGCTTCCGTACTAGAACATGGTGTCATTCGTCGAGATAATTTATCGTTTTGTTTAATAGATCAAGAAATGTAAATATTCCCCTGTTATTTTTTATAAAATTATAAGAGAAATAATTTTTTTTCTAAATAGTATAGTTTATTATTTTGTAGAAAAACAAAATTTCGAAAATTTTAGTAATGTTTCAGAAACAACCGTTATTAATAATAGGTACCATTTTCCTTAATAAGGTAGAAATAAAATATAAACTATTTCCACGATTTACAAAGGCCTACAAAAAAATTATAGGTATTTTCCGCTATCCTATAAAATTTATATTTTCTGACTCAATTTCAAAAGGTTGAAGGAATTCCAAAACACCTTTTATGGCATAATAATTATTTTCAATTCTACATACTATCTTTAGCTGCTTTTAAAAACGTTCTAAGAAAGTCCAATCAGACCAATTTAATCCCTAAACTATTCCACACTTTTAAAATTTAATTACCTAAAAATATTAAAAACTATTTAAAATAACTTGTTTAGCAGACTGTACAATAGCTATCTTAGTCACACGTAGCGCGTTCTCTGTCTGGGCGTCGAACACCTCTAGAAATTTGATGAACTGTATTGTGGTAATTTTTAAATAAAAAGTGGAAACAAGAATATTTTAAATAAATATTTATCATAAAATAGATATTAAATCAGATATAAGAAAATTTGAATTCAAGATAAATGAAAAAAAATGGATTTTTTAAGATTTTGATATATAGCGGCCAACAATCTTAAATAACTCCAAAACTAGACATACTATCAAGTTTATATTTTAACATGATTTAATCTATTCATAACCCTCACTAATAAAGTAACTGTCAATGTATCGCAAGCCGTCAAAAAATAGGAAAAAATTAAAAGAATATAAAAATAAAAGGTCTGCTAACAAAATATCTACAATAACTCCATAACTAGACATACTATCAAGTTCATATAACACTGTTCAATTAATAATGTTAAATTTCGACGCTGAGATATAAGAGTTAGTTGTTAAAACACTTTCGTGGCATGTTTGCGATGTAACAAACGTATATAAGATGTAAGTTAATTGAATGCAATAATTATACATTCGTCTAAATGAAGTTATTAAAAAAAAACACGTACATAAGGTCAGAAATGAATATATAGCTGTCACAAAAAACTGGACGTGATTAAAACAAAATTATTATATATTGTTAATGAGAATACACCAACATGAACAACAATCATCACAAAGTTCGTGTCACAAAAACAGTGTTTACTAGTGTTATTTAAATTAGACACTTCGGAAATATATGTGATTAAAATTTGCTTCAGACAAAAAAATTTTTTATTTTATCACATTTGTAAATATAGCTTAAATACATTTTTCTTTAATCTGTTTTTTAAATTATCACTTTTGGATACATTTTTGCATATAACACTGCATATTTCAGTCAATGTAGTGAATATAAATGTGCATTTTTTTAAATTTTTGTTGCATAAAAATGTTGATATCAATTTATACAAAGTCACATATAAGTAAATAATACTTACCAGTATATTTCTATTTTTTTAGGACCCATCATGACAAATCTACATGTATACAGGACATGCTACACGTTATTGGGATTTAATGAATCAGATTGTTCCCAATTAGGAAACGAAGATAATTCTGTAACTCGTTGGCTAGAACCGAAAGTACAACCAACAGTAAACAAAATTAATATGGTGAACAGCGTCATAAATAGTTCGCTACCATTGATTTTCTGCATGTTTGTTGGAACTTGGTCCGACAAGTTCGGAAGAAAACCCTTTATGATATTATGCTATGCAGGTGAGGTTAAAAGTAGTATACTTAATTATATTGGATTACATTTAACATGAGTTGGACTTTGGTCGTTGTTCACCGCGACCTTTTCAGTTCTAATGTGGAAGACTTAAGTAGCTTAGATAGTTGTTTTTGCTTCTGGCTTTTTTTCGCCTAAAGTTAGAAACATCAATCTAGCCAGGCCTTCTCTCTGGCACATATCTACTGATATTTCCTCTTCTTCCTCAAATAACATCCATAATGTGGCTTCTTTTTCTGAATTAAAGATATTTATGTGCTTTCTAATGTTACAGTATCCGGAAAGAAGACCTACTGTTATTCTAAAGATTTGTCGCTTTTATTCTAGTAAATCTTTCGTCGTTAACTTGGTCTTAATACAGTTTTTGGCCTGCCCCAATCATGAATAATTGTTTCCACCATTTTTAAGGCTCTATTTGACGAAGAATATGTTGTTGTAAAACATATTTTGTAATGCAAAGTCATCTAAATATTCGTCAAAACAAAATAACGTTACGAAATGAAAGTGACAATAAATGTAAACAACTGAACCAATGAAATGAACGTGTAAATAAATGTTAACAACTATACAAAAAGTACTAGCATGTCCACGAGGATACAAATGGAATTAAAACACAGTACTAAACTACGACAAAAGTGGAGTACCTAGGTCTTACCTTTGACATCAAGTTAAGATGGAACTTACACATAGAAAACAGAGTAAAAAAGCATACATTGTTTATGAACAATGCTGTTAAACCGTGGGGCATATGTGGCGTCTCTCCCTTAGAGTCGTCGTATGGACTTACACAGCCATCATAAGATCTATGCTAACATACAGTGAAGTTGTCTGCCTTACCACAAACCCACAAATAACACAGGTTTACAAAAAAAAGTCCGGACTATTTGACCAGTCCATAGTATTCCTAGGTATTTTGGCGTCCTGAATCTCATCACGTCAGAAAAACCAGATTTTAAGTTTATTTAAAGGTCAAAATGGTGATTTTTTGTAACTGGCTCCGAGACAATTTCTCAAGCAATCTGTTAAGTTGAGAGGTAACTGTGTAGGTCTTGAATACCTTCCAAACATTGGAAACGGTCGCAACAGGGCCAGCCATGTTGATAAAATGTTGTCATGATCGTTGTATCTCGTGAATTTCGATTTTCCTGCTAAGGTGTTCAATTTCGGCTATCCATTTGCTGTGAGACAGTGCCATTGGATCCAGCACTGACACAAATGGCCTTAGAACCCTGCCAGAATATTGGAGTCATGCTCAAGTAGTTCGAGGTATTCGAGCTCGTGAATTTTGCCTCCCTTGCCAGTATGTAGAATTTTGGCGATTGAGTTATCGTCAGTTAATGCCAGCACTTCTCAAATTGCTTCTAGAACATCGTCCAAAAATTGGGTGAAGCTGAGTATACTGTCCGGGGCAAACTAATGTTGCAGAAATTGGTCTGAACATCCCAACCCGCAACTTCAGAGTTTGCCACCTTTATTCTGCTGAGGTAGGGCATTGGAATTCAATCCCTATGATAAGACGTCATATTCCACCATGTGAATTGGTGTGGCTATCATACAATATTTGCAACTATGACTTAGAGTCTGCTGATAAACTCAGTTCTGCTAGCATTGCCCAGGAACAACGACGGGGACGTTGCAGATATCGTTGCCTTTGAGGTGCTTGTTTTTTTAGTGAATCCCCTTGCCTCTCACTTTTTTCCCTTCCAATTTCTCAATCTTTGCGTACTTGTTTATGGGGTCTGCAGTTTTGATCAAAACTCATTCTAAGCGCCTTTCTCTTATGCCCTTGTTGGTATCCCTTTTCAAGTTCCAACAGTAATCTACCAACATAGTAATATCCCAGAAACCTTGGTAGCGTCTTTCCATTTTATATCTTGGTGGAATCTTCCACCTTGTTCTTCGCTAAAATGTCCGAGGTTTTCTGGAAAATTTCCCAAATGCGAATCCAACCCTTAAGGTTAATGCTGGGTGGACGGTCATGAACTCACAGCAAATGCATCGTCGCAATCGACGCTTGGCAGTGTAATAGAAAGTCGCCAGTTAGTAACCCCCTGAGCCAGTTCTTCACCGTAGGCCAGACCTGAGCGGGACACGAAGCATAACTCCAATGCTCTGGGAAGATTCCAGGGCCATTTGGGTCAGTGCTGGATCCACTGGCATTCTCACAGCAAATGGATGGCCGAAATTGAACATCTTGGCAGGGAGATTTTATCCACTAAGACAGTGGTCGCCAACCTCTCAATGTGTTGAGCTATTTTGTTAATTTTGGAATAATCAGCGAGCTACCCACATGGAAGCCACGTAACGCAACGTAAATGAAATAATCCACAGTTAATTTATCATTATATGTATTTATTTTACTATTTAACTGGTAATACATAATACATAGGTACTAATAATAAACTAATAACTAATATTACTAGTACGTTCTTGTTCATAACTACATTCCTACCTACCAAACGAAGGTGTTTGAAAAATAAACACAAACTTTTATCCAGCCACAACGGCATGTCACGTAAGATTTAAAATAGTTAATAATAACAACAAAAAATTAACGCACTATCATGAACATAAACATTGAAAAATAAAAGCACGTTCAATGAGAAGGCTGACACTCAAACTCATCGATAATTTTTTAGTGTTTGCAATATAATTTGATACAGCCATTCGAATACAATTATCCTAATGTTCATCTGTAAGTCGATTGCGATATTTGTTCTTAATAAACGTCATATTGGAAAAAGAGAAGATTCACACAAATAGGTTGAACTGAATAATGCTTTCACTTTCAAGGCAACACGGCATAGAACTGAATATTTGTCTTTACTTACAATAGGCCAGATACATTTAGTTCTTGAGACTAACGATTTTAAGGCTAAATCATTTTGAAACTCAATTACTTCCATTTCTGTTGCAGCAATGTCTTCGCCAAAGTTCTGCATAACACAAGTTGCAAACTGTTGGATATCAATTTCCATAAAGGGTGAAACAACAAACTGTGCTACTAAAGCTATTTCGTTGAAATCCTTAAAACGATTTTTGAAGTTATTCTTCAGGGTAGAAACTATTTCTACATGATATTTGGTGTCATAGGGTTCTAATGGATTTTGAGATATTTTTTCTGAAAGAATAGGAAAATGCTTGGCATCGCTGTTAATTAGGTTTTGTTCCCAAAACTCCAGCTTTTTAATAAATGCTTTTATATCAGAAATAATTTCCGCTAGTTCTTTGTCTTTCCCCTGAAGCTGCAAATTAAGTTCATTTAATTTCTCTGTAATGTCCACGAGAAAACCAAAATCTCTAAGCCATATTGAATTTTCTAGTTCCGAAGTCGGTTAATCGCGTTGTTTGAAAAATTGAACTATGCCAGATAGGACATCATTAAAACGTTTCAGCACCCGTCCTCTACTTAACCATCGGACTTCAGAGTAAAGGAGTAGGTCCCCGTATTGACAGTCAACTTCATCGGCCAAGGTTTTGAATAATCTTCTTTGTAACGCTTGAGCTCTAATCTTGTTCAAAATTTTAACCACCAGTTTCATAACGTTGTTTAGTTTCAGGAAATTTTCACATAATGCTTGCTGATGGATAATGTAGTGGTAACAGAGAAATTGCGGAAAAGTTTCATCTTTACGACATAACGCCACCAGACCCTTATCACAACCCACCATAGCTGGAGCGCCATCGGTTGTCAAGCCTACCATTTTTGATATTGGAATTTTCTCGGAAGAAATAATATTTTTTAAATGAGAAAACAACTCCTGTCCAAAAGTGTGTCTTTTCAGTGGAATAAACTTCAAAAGATCTTCTTTAATCGTAAAATCACTAAAAACCATCCTGACGAACACAGCCATCTGGGCAGTGTAAATGACACTGTTGATTCATCCAGTTGAAGTGAAAAATTAACATCTAAGTCAGTTCTTAACTGTAAAAAAATATCATTGCTCATCACTGTATTAGCAGAAAGTTGCATAGATTTTATAGCTGAAACTATCTCGTCTTTATTTCTAAAGTTGGCAAAGAACGAATCAGCAGCTTCTAAAAACGGCTGTTTTATCATTTCCTCGTCTTTATAAGGTTTCTTTTTTTGTGCAATTATCTGGGACATACGGTACGATGCTTCAGTTGTAGCCTTATTTTTGTCGATTGTTCTTAACAATATTGATTGTTGTTGGGTTAACTGCTTTTTTAACTGTTTCAGTTTCTCCTTTCTGGCGGCAGAATGTAGTGGGAATGATTTTTCAAAATTAGAATGTACAGTTTTATGATGTCTCTCAATATTTCCTTTTTTAGCAACGGAGACCGAAGTATTACATAACAAACACACATTTTTATCTTTAGCTTCTGTAAAAAAGTATTGTTCTTCCCATTCCGAATGAAAGTGGTATGTCTTTACCTTCTTACAACTGCTTGCCATAATATTTTTTGTTGTTCTCTACTAACCCAACCGCTGGACGTTGGTTACGCGTTCAGTTTTAAACTAAGCGCAATGTCGCCACGCCGTGCGTATTTATCCCGTTCAAAGCAATCCTGATCGTTCTCGAACATTAACGCGTTGGTCCGGGTGGTCAGTTCTAGCCGATTCTAGCTTGATGGCGTCAGCGGCAGATCGCTCACCGCAACGTTGCCGCTGTTTATGTTAAATATTATGACAATTAGATTTTTTTGTGGGCGACCACTGCACTAAGCTGTCCCTGCGCTGATCCTGGTCGAGATTCATGGCCCCTGTCCAATGACCCCTAAATGACCTTGAAATCTGGGTTTTCTGACGTGATGGGGCAAAACTGACCCCGGAATCGGATTCAGGACGCCAAAATACTTGGGAATACCATGGTCCGGTCAAATAGTCCGGATTTTTTTTTTGTAAACCTGTGTAATTAGATAAATCTTACATCTCCCGCGGTGAAAGGGTTAATCACTTTCATCATTTGAATTCATTTTTGATTGATACATTTCTTTGACAATGACTTAGTAACTATAGAAAGGTTCTGGACCTATCATGGAATAATCTGAGCCTGTTTAGGCTAATTCGTTGATTGGTTCATTGCCCTTATGTCCATCGTAGTCTCTTAACCATTTTAATTGACTGCATAGCTCTTTCAGGTCTTCTAGTCTTTTACTAGCCGTGATCTGGTTTCTGGGGAGAGAATTACCTTTGGAGCTGCTTGACTATCACAGTAAATGACAACAATTTTGGCAGATACTTGCTGATTAATTATTTAACTTACACAGTATTGCTAAATGTCAGTAAGTTGATCTATTGCACAGTTTTGGTTTCTCACGCCACTTCACCGTGCATAAACATGAGCTTACCAACCTTATTTATAAACCTAACCATATTTAATGTTTGTTTCATATCAGCATTTGGTTAAATATGATTCTAAGGTATTTGGCTTTTGTGACAAACTAAATAACTATATTATTTAGAACTAGTTGCATTAATCCGTTTTGTTTTTTTTTTTTAAATGGTTCAACTGATGTTTTTGTATGCCACTTCTCTATTTCAAGCTTTACTTGTTAAGTTGCTTTTATTTCTTTCCATCCTTAATATTCTTTCTTTGAATTTTATTGAGTTTTCTGCGATTTTCTTTGTCTCTGTATTTCATTGTAATATTTTCCATATTCTGAATGTTGCAAAAGTCGTTTCATCCCTATTTTGCATAACCTTAGTATCAATACTAAGTGGCAGTAAATATTTTTTCATTAAGGCACCCTTATAAGTAATTTTCTTGATTTTGATTCACAATAAATTATTATTTCAAGGCATTAAGTCTTAACTATGTTACTATCAAGCGCTTAAGGCCATATCGATTTAGATAGTGACGTTGAGGCTGGTATGGGATTGCTTTAAAAAACTAAGGACATTATTTATTAGACCAAACTTGAATTTAAACTAATTAAGGTGCCTTAACAGGATACTTAAATAAAAAAAAAAAACAGAATTTTTATTCCTTATCGAAGCAGTAAACAACTCTAATTGTCAAATAAAAATATGGAACTAATTTTTTCTCTTTTTTGTAGGTCTTATTATAAGCACAGCAATGAGTACAGTTATAATTCATTTTTCAAGCTTATCTCCTTGGTGGTTTATCATAAGTTCAATTCCAAATTTAATGACAGGGGGCGTATCGTCTCTAATGGTAGTTAATTCAGCCTACCTTAATGATATAACTACTGAGAAAAATAGAGTAATCAGGTAAGAAACATTGTAATAAAGTATACTTTGTCTAATTTTTTTTTATATTTGCCCCTTATCTTACAAAATTAATCAGTATTTTTAAAATAACATAATTTACTACAAAATTTTGTTTAATACTATAGTTATTAACATATTCTGCATGTTTCAATATTGTGGTTTATAGCAGCAACTCTAATTTATCATGATCATCATTAAATCTAGGAATATACACTCAAAAAGTAGTTAAATATGCACATATATATGCCGCAAAATACTTCAATATGCGTAAAAAATTGAAAAATATGCAGAGCATATGCAATAAGAGTAATTTGTTATTTGATCGAAATAGTTTATTAATATTTATCATTTCTTTTATTTTACAATACCTAATATAATACTTAACAATTATTTAATTATTAACTAATTTTATTTACAAATCAACATATTTTTATATAATTTTGCTATTATTCATTTTCAAATAAATTATAGGAATAGGAGTAATTTATCAGTTTTTCTAAAAATACCTTGTTACCGATGTAAGTATATCTTTCCCTAGTTAAAAAATTCGAGTTTTTATTTTCATAATATAAATAAATGATCGGTTAACAATCACATTCTTTTAAATAGTACATTTGACATTGAAGTAGGTATTTTCTCCATATTGCCAAACAGGAACAGATGGTTTACTTGTAATTTGAATTATATTACATAAATCTAACTGAATTTCTCTATAATTCTCATAGCAATATGTACACAAAACACTTATCCAATAATATATATAACCATGTAAAAATAACATTTCAAGAACGAGAAAATTTATAAAACCGGTCCTGTCTGAACAGATCTAGGAAAATCAAATATGTTTGTCAAAGTTTTGTTCTTAATTTGAAATTGGAAATTGTGCGTCTCACTCACTTATAACTAATAACAAAGTGCAGATTATCGGTGTTCACGTATTACAGAACACACAAACTAAAAATCAGTGTAGCCAAAACATAAATTTACTTAACATGGCGACAAGCTTGAATGGGGTCATTTTTTTGTATTGACCAGGGCTGGTATATCTAAGGGGGTCGCGACATAGACCCAGTAAATGGATGAGGGGGTAACTGAGGCTAGGGGGGAAATAGTAGTCAGCTTAAGTTGGCAACACTTTTCTGACGTTCGTTTGAACGAGCATCGTGCATAATAATGTCAATATGGTACAAGTGGAATGAACCACTGTTTTCCTCCCTCGTAGTCCAATGTCGAATTAAAACTAAAAACATTTTGTACTTTTTTATATACTAAATTATGCAATTTGTTTCAACTTTATTTTAATGTTACATGAATAGGTACATGCGTTTGTGCTGTGGTAAATAAGTGTTCATGTGAAAATTATCTCTCTTAAACTACATTGTGATTGCACTCATCTCAAAACTGAATGCTGTAAATCCAGGATTTAAATCTCTTATAGTATTGCTTGGGATAAATTATAAAAAAGGTGTTGGACAAAACGTTTACAACCTAAAATTGCATGAAAAACATGATAGAAGAAAGAATTTTACCTTTATGACATTCTCTTTCAACATTTTTAAGTGACTTTGTGAATGGACTGTTACCACAGTCAAAAGATTCAAAGTAAAAAAAAGTGACCAAGTTCTAATAAGAATACATAAGTTGAATATGAAAATGTAATTACTTGATTTAAATGTGATTTAATTAAGAGTTAAATAGAGGTTTCATATAAACAAAGTGCTGTAAAATGTTAATAAATGCAAAACCATTATTAAAGAGAAATTAGTTATCATCAATAAGATATTTTGTAGTAGCTGGTCTCTATAAATAATAAACTTGAAAGACTGAATTAGTAGTCACTTTACACTAGAAGTAAAAACAAAAAAAAATTTATGGTTGAGACTAATTTATGTATTTAATAAAAAAATATTTAACATAAAAGCAGGTGTTATTTGAAATGTTTTTAGTTTAATAATCTTTATAAATTGTGGGTACATTTGATCCGAATCTTGCAAATACTATAAAATGCATATGCTTCTATATGGTTAGTATTGGAGTAGAAGCACAAAAGTTTTGAATAAAAATATAGATACCGGAATATTTTGCTTGATTACTAAACTTTGGGTGTTTTTGTTGTAGTCTGCTGTTAACACTATTGTCCTGAAATATTAAAAAAGCTAGACAAAGGTTTGTCCAACTCTTTTGTCAGCTTTTGTTAATCTATGCTACTGTTATTCTGCATGCAGACATTTTTTACTGGAGATTTTCTCTAAGAACTGTATTCAGTTTCAAATTTCGGCCAGTTTTAGGAAAGTACCTCTGTTGTAAAGGTATTTCAAATCCATCCTTTGTAAGATGTAGACAACAAATACATGCTAAAATGTATAGAAAACAAATCGCAAGATATTACACAAAATTATTTAAATTAACTAAAAACATACAAATGAAGTGAATAATACCTACCAACAATTTAAAAATACCTAAAATAAATAGACTTAAGGGACTGGAGCTCTAAAAAAGGGAGCAATAATTTGTTATGCATCATCTATAAGAAAATTGTCTTCATCTCTTCAATTACCTTTTAAAATAAACAAAACTAAAACAGCACAAAATTGAAAGTGATCTACTTTTCCCGACGTATTTTATGTACATCTGAGATTAATAATTTATTAAATTCAAATATTTTATCCTAAAAAATATGGGCATTTTATAATGGAAATGTCATTTAAGAAATGACATTGATTTTTTTCTTATATTGGTAAACCTGGCGACTACAAGTTGCCACGTTGCCAGATCAATGGCGACTACTATTTAAAAAAAAATGGCGTCCAAAATGGACTCCTATGTCGCGACCCCCTTAGATATACCAGCCCTGGTATTGACAGCATACGCCAAGCGGTATCTAGACTTTCTGAGGGCTATGAGCTTCCTTGACCTTCTCAAACCTTCTCGAACTGTCATCTAGAATATTCTTGACGGGTAATGATATTTCTGGACATTTCTGGAATATTATATATTCTTTTACTTGTACTTTTATTTATGACGACCGTAGCACACTATAGGGCAATTAGTAACATTCCACTTCTTTTTCTATCTGTGCGATTCTTATAACAGTCGCAGGCTACTGCAGGGTGATGCGTAACAGTTTGATCCTCTGAGTAAGTATATTATCTAAGGTTTGATCTATATTAAGTTGTCAACAGGCGAAAGACTGACTTGTGTCATTTTTATCAACTTACTGTCGTAGGCGATTTTTGGCGAGTCCTTTTTCATAGTGGCAAGGTTCTCTGAAACACTGGTCGCAAGTGAGTGGCTGTCTTGTAATCAAGATGTCTGTCTTGCGCTTCCATCATGATGGTAATTGTTGGTATATATTTAGCTTGGGGTAGGTATTTCAGTTTAGCTAGGATATTTATTTCATTTTAAATGGTCTAAGATGCGAAGTAAGGTCGACCGTCGCCTATCTGTTTAATGAATGAAAGTTTCTTTTTATTAAATAAGAAATGTTTATAAATATACCACAAATTAATTGCCTAAGAAAACATGGTTATTACTATTTATGTTCTTAAAGTAAACAAAACGACACCCTGTAAAGTATTCCTCAGCTCACCGCAGGATGAATTAAGGTTTAAGTTTAAAATTTGGTGTTTTTCTCTTTATCCGTTTTTGAGTTATCTTCAAAATTCGAAATTTGCACTTTTCCTTAAATATCTCGAATTGGGTCCATTTTAGGGATTCCTATACTTTTATCTGTATGCAGACAGGAAAGTAAAAAATGAGCGTGACCGTATTTTCTTAGGCAACCCGTTTGGGGTACATTTATAAACATTTTTTTTTAATAAAAAATAACTTTTATCCATTAAACAGATGGTTGAAGGTCGAACTTACTTACGGATCCAGGGGTGGGATTCCGTTCTGTGTCGAGTAACTCGATCTCGATACGATTCATAATTCGATCGAATTATGAAAAGCAATTCTATCTGTTTTGACTTCGAAAATCTTCGACTCGGATTTGATATCAAATTCCATAATTGCAATTCCGTTCAATGAAATTCGACAATAAACTCGATAAAATAACTCGATAGCTCTAGAGTAGTCGATTCGATATCAAATCATTAAAGTTGAATTTTTTTGAAATTAGGTATGAACCTTTCCTGCAGCAATGTGCCTTTTCTAAATAACCTCTCCTGCATTAAGGGCCTTATTTTCTCTATTAGGTACATACGGGGTCATTATACTATTTCATAAGGACAGTATCTGTATTTGTAACGTGTGAAGGGTGGGTTAACTCATGGCACTTAGGCCTTACTAGGCCCATTGTGCAATCTCCCAATTAGATAGGTACCTACTAGCTCGTGAGCCAGGGACAGTATTGCTATTTCTTAAACGGTAACAAATAGAAAAATGGTTGAATTTAACAAAAGTTTTAGTTTTGTGCTTATTAAAATGATGCCAGAAAACATTTGATATCTACAAAGAAATTCAAAATATCTGACAAAAAACGAATGAATGAATTTAAAGAAATTACAATTTTCATTTTTTGTACGATATGTTAAATCTCCCTGTAGATATCAAATATTTCTTGGCACTATTTTAATAAGCAAAAAACTGCGTAACTTTTCTCTTATTTAACCAACCTTCTATCTGTTAGCGTTCATGAAATATTAACACTGTCCCTATGAAATAGTAGGGACTCTGCATACTACTTGAAACATCAATAACAGGATTTATTAATTACATAAAACGCTATAAAATATAATTTAATAAAGGTAGTTAATCTTTATTCAGCCAAAAAAGTTATCCATAGCGATTTTCAGAGAGTTCGAAAAGATCGCTTCTTTTCCTTAGGCCATTCTTTCTTTTGCACAAAGCACAATAATATTAAATAATAATCTTTTTACAAGTATATAGCTGGTATCGGGGAGGGACAACCGTATAATGATAATAATACTCTCCCTAATTCACCCCCTTACGAGTGAATTTTAACCCCGAAAGCTCAGCTTGTGCAGGGAAAGGGACGG